TGTAATAAAAGCTGCAGAAACAGAAAGCAATAAGAGATAAATAATTGTTGGTCCTTAAGTAACAAAATCGTGACTGATTTCCATGTTCAAATCATTTTACTTTCGAACTATTTGCTTTTCCTTATTCCACATACCTGTACTGGACATATGCATTCAAAAGCTTCGAAGTGGTTACCAGCCATTCTTTTTGTCAACGCGGTTACAGTCGAGCGGAAAGTAAAGAAAGAACCCCAATGTTATAAAACTCAGCTGTTGAAAGGGGGGAAACTGTTCTCTTTTTCGGACAACAAATTGAATGTCACAAAAGAACAAAAACCTTGATTTATTGAGTTCAACAACTGCTTTGAATTACGATATGCATTTTACTTATTTTTTTATTTTATGTACTTATTTAAGATGAAGAGAATAGAAAATCACATTGCTCCATTTTTTAACTTTATTCCAAAAATATTTAATTTGAAATGTTTTTAAAGGAATTTAAAAACTTAACTTCTGCTTTACGTAGAGGAGTATAAATTTTTAAAGATTTAGACAAAAATTTATTATTTTTATTTTAATTCCTTTATTCTGAAAACAGTAATGATAGAAATAGCTTCTTTTTAAAGTAGATTTCTATCACAAAATAAAATTAAATATTTTAAATTCCACAATGGATTTAAAATTAACGTAAAATTTTCAAAAAGGTGGTTAAAGTGTTAAGTTTTTTTTTCTTCTTCATAATGAGTTTACAATTTTACTGGTTATAAGTATAGAAATTAATATTTTCACGTTTTCCAGCGGAATTGAAATTGATAGATACTTTTTTGAACTGTTTTGAGGACAAAATGTGGCAACTACTTTTGGAGATTTCGAACCACCATAGAAAAATTTAATGATTATAGGTTAAAATTTTCTTTCAGGAAATTAAAATTATCAGATATCATTTTAAGTTTTCTAAATTAAAATTATTTATTTATTTATTTTTATGAGAATTTTGCAACTATAGTGAACCAATATGAATACAATATGTTTAAAAATGATTTAAGATTATGAAACTTAAGCTAATTCAAGAAATATACATTAAAATCCTAGAGAACAATTAATTTGAATTACTCTTGATTAGCTGTTGTCTTCATTACAACAAATTTTCAGGTTTTCGTATCTTTTTCCTTTTAAATTATTATTTTACTTTCAATAACTTTTTAGGACGCTCAAAGGGAGCTCAGAATTATTTATTATTTTATTACTTACTATTTATTTATTACTTATCAGAAATTATTTATGAAGAACAACGGATTTTAAAAAAATCATATTATTTAAAAATAAGATGTATTAGCTTTCGCCAGTGACAGAACAAAAGTGAAGGATCAAGGGAAATACTTGAATAAACAAAAGAGTACAGATATTGTTTAACTATATTTAAAATGCCATCAATAGTTTTGTAAAGTACTTATATACAGATGACACGGATTTATTTAAATTAAAGATTGCATAATGATATCATTGAAAGATAATTAAATTTGCATAAACTATGAATAAGTATATTTCTTTGATTTTTTATGCATTTTGTACTGAAAAGAATCTAACAGTACTCTGTGGATATATATGAATGTCGCTTACTATGTAGACTAACTAACGATATTTGAGCTTCCTAGATTTATATTTAGAAAGCGTAGCATAGCAACATTCGCGCAAACTGAATGTTTCATAGTTAATCAAAATAAAATTTAAAGATAATATATGTTTATTTTTGCCTCAATTTCTGTAAGGATTAAACTTCACATAGTCCTATAGATAAACTATAGATGTAGATTACTATGCAAATAATCCATATAAATGTTTCGGATTTATTTTATGAGAAGAAAAAAGAAACATAACAATTTCACATAATGATCAATGTTTCATCTTTAAGGAGATAAAATGTAATGAAATATCACTCATTTTATTCGATAAAGTTATTTTCGAAAAACACATAATTCTGTTAGATACTTTATAAATGTAGATTATTTTAAATCCTGGTTACCTACATAGACATCTTTCTTCTATTTTATGTGAAGATAGCATAACGAGTTATTGAAACCTGTATGTTTTCTTTTTCAGCCATATAAAATGCAATGAAATATATTTCTCTTATTTCATATAACAATTTCTTAAAGGAATGCTACAGTGTATAGCAAAATATATAAACTGTAGCTGCAAATTATCTATAGAGTACCTATATAGACGTTTTTAATTTGCCTTTAGTAACAGTAGATAACAATAATGATGTAGATAATAATAATATTATGTATAGATTAATTTGTTTTTAATAAAAATAGAATGTAATAATGTATATTAGCCTAGCTTCATATGCTTATTTCTAAAAGAATTTAGCTGTGCGCAACTACGAAGATTACATGTTTCTTTGACTTGATATATAAGACAAAATTTTAAAACGATTAAAAATATTCTGATAAGCTTATTCATGATCTGGTATTGAGACTCAAACCACGTACAAATTTATCAAATCCGATGAAATCCTTAAATTTATCAGGTGGTTATAGGTTCTAAAAAATCTCCCATACAGGTAAGCTACTCCAGGCATGTTCAGGGCACAATACCCCTACAGGATTTTTGTGGTATTTGTTCAATCCCATGGGATTTAAAACTCCTAGTCATGTTCAGCCATTATATCATCCCAGGTAATCCTTCATCCTCAGCTGCTACGTCCAGCTCATGCAAAATTAAAGATTTTTTGGTGGGGCCACCCCTCTTCTCTGCAAAGGCTGTTACGAAGGGTGTAAATCATTCTATGGAGTTAAAACCAATTGGCTGATAGGGCTGCGGTTAGAAGAATGGGTGCCTTTAAAGGGGGTCTTGCCCCAGGTAACAGCTGCGGCCCCTTTGGTTGGAGAGGTTCCGGATGAGAGCAAGAGGTCCTGAGAACAACCATAGACGGTGGTCCCTTGCCCCCCCTAGTTCATTTTTAAGGGGTGCATGCACCATTCAAAAATAAAATGATAGCGATGGGAATGAATTGGTTCTGAAATACTGCCGTTGTAAGACAAACATTTGAATTGGTGAGAGTTTATGGTGCAAAAATCGTTTTTGTTGAGGTTTGTATGTTAGATTAAAGCAGGCGGAACTGCGTAAAATAAATTTTATTGTATAAAGTAACTGCTTGCTTTGATCAAATCAATGACGAAATTTGGAATCATTATTATATAAGAGAGAAAGGAAACTACAAAAGCATTCTCGCTTTCTATATTGGAAATTATAATAGTTCATTATTGATTAATGTAATTCACAATTATTGTACTATAATAATTTTGGAGAAAAATAAAAAATAAAATGATTTTTTTTAGGGAAATTATATTTATATTTTCCATTTAGAAAAAATAATTTTATACGAAAGAAAAAAAAAATGTTTTTTTAGAGAAATTATATTTATAATTTCCATTTCAAAAAAATTTACACGCAGCTTTTTTTTTTTTTTTTTTAATCTTGCCTANTTTTTAATCTATTACCACTTATATTGATCATATGCTGGTGAATACTTATACTGATAAACATGAATAAATTTATCCCTTCATTATAGATAAATACTGATAATAATCTGACTGTGCTTGTTTATTTTATGAACTAGCAAATAGGTGTTCCCTTATTTATTAAACAAAGCGAAATATGCTTTCAATTATATAATTATAAATCACATCCAAAACGAATAATTTAACATTTATTGAGGAATTTTCAAACGTTAACTATTTAAAAACTAAATATTGAAATCACACTTACGTAGTATGATTAAGAACACTTATTTTTTTAAAACCGATGGTACAAAATTATTTTAATTTTCTTCATTACTTAAAAAAAGAATGTGTATTTTATTTTTCTGTGAAAAAATTAGGAAATTTATTTTAAATTCTGTTCTAAATTCAAGAGAATTTTAAAATTTATATCTCATAAAAATTACTATCAAAAACTGTTAAAGTTTTTGAAGAAAATTCTTTTTTATTTTTTTAATTTGATAAAAAGATGAAGTAGAATTTTTAAATTTTTAGGTGATATTTAAGTGAAATAGCTTTTACATGCATTTTTCAGTGTAACTTGAAAAGCTGTATTTTTCAAATATAACTTTAAAAAAAAAACCTTTGAGACTTAGATTTTATTCTTTGCATATTTTTTTAAATATTTTGTTGAACATTTTTTACAACAAGTAAAACTTATTTAAAAATTTAAAATTATAAGCAGCTTAATTAATTCTTAGTAAGGATTAATTGAAGTAAAAAATTAGTCACGTATATTTAAATTCAATATTCAATCTCATAAATGAACTTATAAATTACTTTTTAGTTTCATGAATAAATCTATTATTTAATGTATTCTTATCAAAATTTACATATCAATACACACCTGCAAAATCAATTCGTATTTCAATCCACTGCTGCTCATAACAAATTGCACCCTAAAATTCGGACGATAATTCAGGATTTCAAGTTAGTAATATTTTATAATTTATCTTTTTAGCAGTATTAGTATGGTATATTATTTGGCAGTAAAATGAGTTACATTATTGCTGGCAATATTAAAAAAATCTTAATATTTATTTATTAAAGATATATCCGTTTTATTCCAATGAAAATTTACACAGTTTTAACTATATACATTGCTTGACGGTTAGTTCTACATGCATGTAGACATTTTTAATTGAAAGTAATTTTTTTCAACAAAAAAAATTTAACATGCAAACCATTTTGTTGCAGCTTGTTTTATTAATATTATGCGTTTGATAATACTTCATAATATTTGATAATATATTAAATTCCATTTTTTTTTAAATTTATATAGAAGTCGGATGGTTGAATTTTGTTAAAAACAAGTCACGCTTATATAAATATCTAATTTTTTAATAAAACCAGTAAATTAATTGAAAAAAAAACATTCGACTGGTTTACATATGAGCATCTAATTAAAACTTAACTAATTCTTCACATTATCATTTGAATCCTCGATCATTTGATATGCATTTTAATTAAAGCAAATTTACGATTTTTCTCAATAATTTATAAAACTCTTAGCATCGATCGCAAATCCGCAATATATGTCTGAGTAAAGTTATTATTGCAACTAAATTCTGTTTTATAGATCGTTCATGTGCAATATCAATTTTGACTCAGTCCCTTAATATTGTTTGCGCCAAGAAAAATTCAAAGCGGAAAAAAAATGATAAAAGTACAACCAATACAAAACGAAAGAAAAAAAAAATCTTCTATATTGAGACTGATGCGTCGAACAATAGGCATGAGCTCTTTTTATTTTTTTCTCTCCCCACCTACATTATCCCACGTATTTAAAAAAAATGATAAAAAAAGAAAAAGATAAAAGACGAGAGAGAGAAACAGCATCTCGCGTAAGCAGGCACCACAGACGTGCGTGGTTTCATGTCTTCTTGAATGGCGGCAGAATACAACAATACAGGAGAAAGAGTTCGGAGCGCTCTGATTGGTTGAAAATCGACCTTCCGGGGTTTAAGCCCAACCAGCTCTATCTCGCCAACCCCGCGCCTGGCCGTGGGCAAATTTAATCCAACTCTAGGGTGAGAAAAAATATCACCGACCCCTTGACGTAACCAAAATAATATCCCCCCTTGATTTCTTCTCGTGCTGTGACTGAGCATCAACCTCTGGGGTGATAAGTTTCCTTCGTATTGTGAATGATCGTCTGCTTTATTATTGAAATATCGCTTTAAAACTGATGATGAATACGTATTTTGAGCAGGGTGGATTCTATAACGGATCTGCCGCCACTCCTGCCGAACCGCAGTCGTACCGTTTTCCGCAGAGTTTGCTCGTACCGCCGTACGGCCAGGGTCCGACACCTAGAAATGCACACGAATCAACCCCTTATGCAGATGCAAATGGTGGACCAAACGGTGCTTGCAAGCTATATACAAGCGGCGAACCCACATTTAAAGCTGAGTGTTTGGCCAAAGAAACTAATGGATTTGTGAAAGACATGGTCACGAACTGGCCCGCCATGGCGGCCAGAGTTGCCAATGAGCAAATGAGGTCATTTGCATCGGAAAATTCCGTGACCCCCAGAGCAAATGAGTCATGGCAGCAGTGCTGTCAAAGTTCTCCGACCATTGGTCAAACTCAGAGCAACACATTTTATCCATGGATGGCCGTACAAGGTCTGTATGCTCTCGTTTACCATGTCTTAAACATTTTCAGAAAATTATAAATTCATATAAAACTAACGAATACATAAAAATATATTTATACCATAATTTTTTTTTCTCGCAATATAAGTCATAAGTTGTGTTTGTTTATTTGTAGCAGGATTGGAATTAGTTACTTTTGTTTTAAGGAACTTTTAGGTGGAAAAATTATCAATTTTTTCTAGTTAAAACTCGTTAGTAAAAAATAACAAAAATATTATCGAATTTAAGACCCATTGTTATTGTATAATTAAATGCACGTAATGTAGCTTTGTTATTAAATTTTTCAGTGAAATTGAAACGCTTGTGATAATGGGTTCCCACATAAAGGGGTAATGATAATGTGTATTTCTAGAGTATTGCTAGGTTTAAGATACGTAATTTTTAAGTTACAAATAATTATTTTGTTTTCAAGGAATCCATAATATTTTTGAGCTATTATATAAATCAAAAAGTTTGGTTTGTTTATTTTTAATGAAGTATTTATACTGTGCATATATTTGAATGTAGCTTTTGGTTTTCACTAGAAAAACAAATGAAAAAAATACAACTCCTTGAAATGTGTATTTGAAACAGATAAATACTATTAAGTTATGAAGTTTTATTTTTCGACCAAGACAAGCATAATATTTTAACGTTCTTTATACTATAGGTATAACTGGATACATTAATGATGAACGGTGAATGGGATTACTGTACATTTGTCAACGTATATCTTCCGGTTTATTACTGAAATGAAAATATCGTATTAATTAATAGCACTCTCAAAAATGCTTATAAAAAGTCAAAAAATACCACGAATGATTTTTTTTAAAATTCTCTTTAGTGCAAATTTTTATACACAAATTACGACAATTTATTTATTAGGAAGTGGAAATACCATCATTTTGTTTACATAACAATTATCATTTCTATGAAACGGTTATATCTGTATATAGCAACAGTTGACATAATTATTTACAATAGAATTATTACAACTGCAGTTATGACGAATTATATAGAATTATGACTATCAAATGCTACACATGACAGTATTGAAATTTAATGCATACCTAGATGCATGTTAGTGTATAAAACTTATGTTCTAGATTTTCATCTAATTAAGCTAGCATATTTTTTAAACAAGAACTAGATTTGGTTTCCTTTGTGTGAGCATTTGACTATGATCCTGTTTTCAATTAATGTTTCTTCCCAAAACACAGAGAAAAGAAAAAACAACAAAAAAAAATTTCGGAAGGCAGAATATATTTTTTTTTAAAAATTAAATGCTTAAAAACATTAATGTTTTTCATGTGAGTTTTAACTCTTTAGTTTTCTTTTTAAATTTAATTTATCATTTTAAATAACATTTAAATTTTTAAAAGATCCTTTTTTTCTAAGTTTTAATTTCTTCCTATACTAAATTTAAATTCCAATAAAAATTTTAATATACAATCATTCGCTAAAATCTTTTCTTAATTTAAAGAATACCTTAACATAGTGTTTACTAATTTTTCCACTATTTGTTAAAAACAACCTTTTCAAATGTTCATAGTTCTTAAAAGTATTGAAATAATTTTCTAATTTTGTTCATAACAGTTTTAATTTTTTTCTCTCTTCATAACAGCAATAATGTAAAAATAATCATTTTGCCAGGTATTCAAGAAAAGCTAATATTTTCTGAAATATAAAAATAATCCATCGACGAACAACTTTAAAAATATTTAATTTTGTTCCTTTTGATTATCGATTGAAGCAATTATTATGAAATTAATTATTAAAACAAGTGAATTATTTATTTTTCAAAATTTTTATTAAAATAATTTTTTATTAGTCTACGTATTAAAATTCTCCTGAGTGAAATATTTTACTATACAGTCTTTGCTTTTGTAACCTAGGGACTGAATATGTAATATGTTTTAAAAGCACCCATTTCACCATTTTTTAAAACTTTGGTTTAATCTGCTAAATCTTTGGAAGTTTTTAATTAAAAAAATGAACCTGCACACTGATTGTCATTTTGAAAACGTTCACTCTCCAAGATTTTGGATCAATAATTTATTTGGCCTTGTTTTTAAATTAGGAGACTTTTACTGAGAAAAAGAATATTTTAACTGATATTTCGAAAACACTCTACATCATAAAATAAAAAAAAAACATTCATTTATTCTTCTAAGACTCAATCAAATAAGGTAAGAAACAATTTACATGTTGTGAATGAATGAAAATGTCATTGCGAAAACATTTAATTTTCTAGGATTCAGTAATTTATTCTGTTAACCCTAAAAAATTGGGTTTTTAGGAAATAAAAAGAACATGGTAAGTGATATTTTGAAAACACTCAATGAAACATTGAAAAATAAAAGCATTTATTTATCCTCTCAAGCATAAAATAAGAAAGTTGTTACGGAGAACAAATAAACTATGTGTGAATAATAGAAAGTGCCATTCTAAAACATTTATTTTTCGAGGTTTCAATTATTTATTTATTCTGCTAAAAAACAAAATGGATTTTAAAATGTGTTAAATATATGAAAATAATATATAAAGGGATATTTTGAAAGCACTCAATAGCCATGTTAAATATATAAAAAATAATATGTTAAGGGATATTTTGAAAGCACTCAATAGCCATGTTTGAAACATAGATTTCTCAATAAGGGGTTGTTTCTTCAGTAAGGTTGTTTTTATGAAAAAAGAATAAATAAGTAAAAAAAAATTTATGTTCGTGACGGTTTTCGACGAAGTAAATCCAATTTTTTCTAACTCTACATTTTCTCTATAATTTCTTCCTTTTATTATAGTTTACGTAAAATTTTATAATGATTCTATTCATGTAAACTGAAATAAATGTCAGCCGCCCTAAAAAAATAAATACTAAAACATAAATCAACTAGCACATTTTATTATATTTTTATTACGCTACAATTGACAGCCGTATCATTTTTTTTTCCACCTCCAGCCAAAGCATTTTCGACCAGTTCTTAAAGAGTTGACATTTAAGACTCCTAATAAAGTCAAAAAAGGTCTTCAGTGTCTATTTGATGCTCAGTAGTTTATATAAACCCTATAGTGTGATCTGTAATTACCTGTTAAACGGTCGCTTATGGGTGCTTGAAGGAATTTTATGGCGCCCGTAAATTCTTGGTGTAGTCTTTTCAAGTTACACTTCTCAGGTGCATGTAAACATCATTTTATTGCAAGTTAAGTGTTGTAGAAAGCTGCCTGGATTGGAAACTATTTTAGGACTCACCCTTTTACCGTTTGTAGTGGATGGGTCATAAAAGTACTCCCTTCCATCCCCCCGCACATCAGAGTCCCCCCCTTTTTCCACCCTCCAGCGTCTTCAAAGGCCGACTTTATGCGTCATTCTGACTTGCGCTTCATTGGAGTTTGTCATGGCACGCATTTTGAGAGCGATTCGTTTTCGTTATTGCTCTCTGTAGTTGTCTGGATTCCGTATAAATGTTTAAATAGAGATATTTCGTTCAAATCTATAGTATCTCTGTTTTAATACTTATTTCAAGCTTTTTAACCCTCGTACTTTGTTTAATCGTATTATTCTTCACTTAAAATTTCCATTAGAGAAATGTTAACTTTCTTCATAGGTTACTCAACGTATGATCATTGAAAATTAATTTATTATCATAAATAGTCTTGTTTGTGTCACATTTTATTTTAAACTTTAAATCGAAAAAGAGCATTTAAAAAAATCAATTATATAAAAATTATTTTTCTAAAAATAGTGTTGTTTTTCTTACTTATTACTTTTCTCAAGTATTATTTTAGATTAAAAAATGTAAATAATATTTATTATACTTTTCAATCAATATTTATAATTAATAATTATTTAAGAATAATGAGTTATTTATTTAAATTTTTTTTGTCTTTAAAAGTAAAACAGTAGAAAAATTCAGCATTCCGTAAAAAATACGGCAAAATGATAATTTTTTTAAATAAATACGCTGCTTGATAAATTAAAAATTAATTTATTAGCAAAGATAATCATGGTGTCACATTTTATTAAAAATTATAAATAAATAAATAAAAAACATTCTGAAAAATCAATTATTTCTATGAAAAAAAATTTTTCCACTTAATATTGAGGAATATTATTTTTGGGTCATGAATTTGAAGGAATAGTATATTATTGGAGAGAAGTTTAAAAATAAACGTTGCTTATTTCTCACAGAAAATAAGAATGCAGAGTTTATTTTTATTATGTTTCAGGATTGGGAGACCATGATCTATTCTTCAAAGAGGGTTATAAAATTTGAAAATGAAAGCTTAAAATATCTGAGAAAAAAAAATTCAAGAATTTAATTTATTAAGTTGTTGGCAGATCTCTTATATAACAAATTGCTGTTTGATATTATTTTGTATAGATTATGAGAAAGAAAATAAGAAAAAAATATTGGATTTCCCAGATCATTTTACAAATTATTATTTTTTTTAATTAAACTAATTTTAACAAAAAAGTTTCCTCTCTAGATTTTTGAACACATTTATTCAAATATAATTTCATTTGATTATGAAATGAAAAACTTTCAATTTCTGCACCACACATAAAAAACGCGTATTATGGCATAAAACGAATTGTTCAATAGCTTAATCCATAAGTTAAAAAAAACAAAACTTTTTAGTGTTCTATTCATAAAAAGGTATAGTTTTGAATCAAAATTGTATTATTGTTAACGTAATGAATTTTAAATAAAGAGACATTTACATATCAAACAATACATTTTTATACCAAGAATTTTGCTTTTTCTTCATTAAAATTCGAAAGCATCAATTTTAATTAAAGGAATACTTTGCATATCTTTTATTTATTAAAGAGAGTGAATTTTAAAATTAATTCCTTTATTTATAGGATTATACAATAATGAAGTCGATTTTGTCGTCATTTTTTAAAGTTATCAGATGTTTTATGTGATAGCATTATTCATGATTTGATATAATATTTAGCACAGACCATGCAATGTGAGCAAATTACA